AGGTTTGATTCTGGTCAAGGGCATGTACCTTGGTTGGGGGGTACATCCCCAGTAGTGGGTGTGCAGGAGGCAGCTGATCGATGTTTCTCTCTCATCAATGTTTCTAACTCTCTATCCCTTTCCCTTCCTCTCTGTAAAAAATCAATAAAATATATATTTAAAAAAAACACTTCATCAATAAACTACTAGACTTAATAAATGAATTGGACAAAATCAACAGGATATAAAATCAACACTCAGAAGTCGATTGCTTTTTCATAAACCAAAAATAAATTCTCAGAAAGAAAAACTAAATAAGCATTCCCATTTACCATTGCAAAAAAAAAAAAAAAAAATTAAGATACTTAGGAATAAACTTAACCAAGGAGACAAAATACCTGTATTCAGAAAACTACAGGATGTTAAAAATAGAGGTAGAAGAAGATATAAACAAGTGGAAGAATATATTGTATTTATGGACTGGTAGAATCAACATCATTAAAATGTCCATAGTGCTCAAGGCAATCTACAGATTCAATGCAATCCCTATTAAAATACCAAAGTCATATTTCACAGAGCCAGAACAAATTTATATGGAACCAAAAAGACCCTGAATAGCTACAACAAGAAAAACAACGTCGGAGAGATCACAATATATGACAAGTTTTACTACAAAGCCACATACTCAAAACAGCCTGGTGCTGGCAGAAGAACAGGAATATAGATCAACAGAACAGAACAGAGACCCCAAAAACAGACCCAAGCCATTACGCTCAATTAATAATTGACAAAGAACATCCAATGGAGTCAAGACAGCCTCTTCAATAAGTGATTGATGCTGTGATAATTGGACAGATACATGCAAAAAAAAAAAAAAAAGAAAAGAAAAGAAACTAGCGCACCAACTTACACCATACGTAAGAATAACCTCAAAATGGATAAAAGACTTAAATGTAAGTCATGAAACCATAAAATCCCAGAAGAAACCATAGGCAGCAAAATCTCGGACATCTCTCGTACCAATATGTTTACGGTTACATCTTCCAGGGCAAAGGAAACTAAGGAGAAAAGAAACAAATGGGACTGCATCAAAAGAAAAGCTTCTGCACAGCAAAAGAAACCATTGTGAGAAAATGAAAAGGTAGCCCACTGAAAGGGAGAACATTTTTGGCAATGATACATCTGATAAAGGGTTAATATTCAAAACAGAAAGAACTGCTACACTGAAGACAAATAGTCCAATTAAAAATGGGCAAAGGCCCTGGTTGGTTTGGCTCAGTGGATTGAGCATCGACCTGCGGACCAAAGGGTCCCAGGTTCGATTCCGGTCAAGGGCATGTACCTTGGTTGCAGACTCCTTCCTGGCCTGGGCCCTGGTCAGGGCTCCTGCAGGAGGCAACTAATAGATGTGTTTCTCTCACATCGTTGCTTCTGTCTTTCCCTCTCTCTTCCATTCTCTCTAAAAATGAATGAAAAATATCCTCGGGTGAGGATTAATAAAAACAAACAAAAAAATAAATAAGTAAAGGTGATTAAATGTTAAAAAAAAAAAATGGGCAAAGGACCTAAATAGACACTTCTCCCAAGTGGACTTCTCCCAAGTGGCTAAGAGACATGAAAAAATGCTTGAAGTTACGAATCATCAGAGAGATGCACATTAAAACGACACCTGTCAGAATGGCTATCATGAAAAAATCAACAAATGAAAAGTGCTGGCAGGATGTGGAGAAAAGGGAACCCCAGTACACTGCTGGTGCAAATGCAGACTGGTGAAGCCATTATGGAACTGTATGGAGTCTCCTCAAAAAATTAAACATGGAACTGCCATTTGACCCAGCAATCCCACTTCTAGGAATATATACTAAGAAACCCAAAACACCAATCAGAAAAAATGTATGCACTCCTACCTCATAGCAGCACATTTTATATTAGGTGGGATCTGGTACTAGCCCAAGTGCCAATCAGTCATTGAGTGGATAAAAAAGCCAAGGTACGTGTACACCATGAAATAGTATGCAGCAGTACAAAAAGAAGGACCTCTTGCCCTTTGAGACAGCATGGAGGGACCTGGAGAATATTATCCTAAGCGAAATAAGCCAGTCAGAGAAAGACAAGTATCACATGATCTTACTCATATGTGGAATCTAATAAACAAAATAAACTGATTAACAAGGTAGATCCAGAGAGATGGAAGCATGGGACAGACCGTGCAATCTGAGAGAGAACGTGCTAGGGTGTAGGTGGGTGGTAAGACAAAAACCAAAGAACTTGTATGCATATATGCATAACCCATGGACACAGACAATAGGGTGGTGTAGGCCTAGGGGAAGGCATGTGGTAGGGCTAGTAGGGGTGAATAGGGGGTAAAGGGGACATATGTAATACCTTCAACAATCTATATAGTAAAAGCCTAAGAACTGTTATGGCGGGTCAACCAGAACAAACAATCGCTATGGTGCTCACTGGCCACCAGGGGGCAGATGGTCAACGAAGGAACTGCCCCCTGGTGGTCAGTGCGCTCCCACAGGGGGAGCGCTGCTCAGCCAGAAGCCGGGCTCACAGCTGTCGTGGGAGGCCCTCTCCTGCCTCTGCAGCATTGCTAAGGAACAACAGTCCAAGTGGTAAGGGGCTGCAAGCAGGCGGGCAGTAAGGATCAAGGGGTTCCTGGACTGCGAGAGGTCACAGGCCGGGCTGAAGCCCCTGCGACCCCAGGGCACAATTATCGTGCACCGGGCATCTAGTCTAAATAATAGTATATAAAAGCCTAAATGACCAAATGACCAAATGACCATTTGACCAGTCGCTTTGATATGCACTGACCACGAGGGGGCAGACGCTCAATGCAGCAGCTAACCCCTGGTGGTTAATGTGCTCTCACGGCAGGAGCCTTGCTCAGCTGACTGATGGGCGCCAGACGCAGGGCTAACGCCTGGTGAGTGCCGCTGCGGTGGCACAAGACTCTCCAGCCTCTGTGGCAGTGTGCTACTGAGGAGCAGCGACATGCAGAGTGGGGCTGGATGAGTGGGAGCGGCATAACACCCAGCAGAGGCTCGGGCTCCTCCGTGGCCACCTGTAGCTTGGTGCACTATATCCCTCGGGGGATGTCAGACCCTTTGGGGAATAGGGTGGCAGTCTGGATTGCGAGTGGGCCTAGGCCAGGCTGAGGGACCCCACTGGTGTACGCATCCGTTCACCAGGCCTCTAGTAAAGGTATAATTAAAAAATACATACTGCCGAAACCGGTTTGGCTCAGTGGATAGAGCGTCGGCCTGCGGACTGAAAGGTCCCAGGTTCGACTCCGGTCAAGGGCATGTACCTGGGTTGCGGGCACATCCCCAGTAGGAGATGTGCAGGAGGCAGCTGATCGATGTTTCTCTCTCATCGATGTTTCTAACTCTCTATCTCTCTCCCTTCCTCTCTGTAAAAAATCAATAAAATATATTAAAAAAAAAATACTGAAAACAAAACCACCACCAAGAAAACATGATAATTTTCCAGTAATCAATAGAAAACAAATGCTATCTACATACAACCTGATAAGGAACCCAAACTACTTTTACTTTTAAAAACATCTCTGAGCTACAAGAAAACACAAATGGAACCAACATAATGACAAAATCAACCCAGTAACAAAAGGAAATTATCAGCCCTTGCTGGTTTGGTTCAGTGGATAGAGTGTCAGCCTGCAGACTGAAGGGTCCCGGTTTCGATTCTGATCAAGGGCACATGTCCATGTTGCGGGCTTGATCCCTAGCAGGGAGTGTGCAGCGGCAGCCAATCAATGATTCTCTCTCATCATTGATGTTTCTATCTCCCCCTCCCTCTCCCTTCTTCCCTTAAGTCAATAAAAATATATTAAATTAAAAAACCCCAAAAAAGTACAAAAGGAAGATATAGGTAGACAGAAATCATAAAAAAGAATGAAACAAATGCTGGAGATGATAAATTACAAGGGATGAATTGAAAACATAAAATGAAGAATATCAAAATAAGACACGAAAGAATACGTGATGTAAAAGACACATCATTTGAAATCATTCAGGTGTAAAGAAAGAGGAAAAATAAATTTAAAGAATACAGCAGCCCCAGCTGGTCTGGCTCAGTAGACAGAGCATCAGCCTGCAGACTGAAGGGTTTCAGGTTCAATTCAAGCCAAAGGCACATGGCCGGGGTGTGGGCTTGACCCCCCAGTAGGGGGCAGACGATCAATGATTCTCTCTCATCATTGATGTTTCTATCTCTCTCTCCCTCTCCCTTCCTCTTAAATCAATAAAGAAGTATATTTTTTAAAAAAAAAACATTAAAAAAAAGAATACAGCAATGTGAACTAAGTAACACCATCAAGAGACCCATTATCTGCATTATGGGAATCCTGTGAAACACAGGCAGGTGGGAAGAGACAGAGGAAAACCAGGACGGGAAAAAGAAAAAGGCATAAAAAGTTTATTTAAAAAAATAAAATAAGCTGCCCTAACTGGTTTTGCTCAGTGGACAGTGTCGGCCTGTAGACTGAAGGGTCCCGGGTTCAATTCCAGTCTGGAGCACAAACCTGGGTTATGGGCTCGATTCCTAGGAGGGGACATGCTGGAGGCATGTGATGAATGATTGTCTCCCCATCACTGATATTTCTCTCTCTCCTCCCTTCCTCTCTAAAATCAAGAAAAACATAAAACAATAACAACAAAAAACACAGGGTAAGAATGTAGAAAAATTATACCCAGAAATATGTACAAATGACCAATAGGAATATGAAAAATACTTTTCCTCGCTAATCAAGGTGGAATCCATTAGGCTCCCTGACAAACTACCAACCACATATTCTTCCCTATGAGTTCAGTGCAGCAGGTATAGGGGCTGCACATAGAGAATCTGGCAGTGCAAGCAAAGGACAGCAACTACCCAGAAAAGTGGAAATCACCCAGTGTCCACGGTCTACATGTGAGGACAGAGTGCACCTGGGAAAAGGGGCCTGGGGAAATGCAAAGCCAAGTCCAGGTCATTTGTGAGAGTGAGGGTCTTACCCAGGGAGGATATAAGTTCAAAGTTCTCCAGCATCACATTCAGGTACAGCTGTCTCTGACCCTCATCAAGGAGGCTCCATTCCTCCCTGGAGAAGAACAGGGCAATGTCCTCAAAGGTCACCCCAACCTGTTAGAATGGAGACAATTGAAACCAGAGCTGTCTCTCTGAGAACCTGCCATCCTACTCCTTACACACGTTCCCCACCCTCAACCTCCTCTAGGGCACCCGGTTAGTGTGGACACCAGGCCCTAATGCCAGTGCAGGCTGCTCTCTCATCACAGTCCCATTACTCACTGTGATGGCCCTCAGCAGAGCAGCTGGGTTGGGAAGGGGGACAGCAGAGAAACACCATCTAAGCTCTGGGCCATGCCTGCAGGACCCCAGCCTTCCTGCCAAGCAACACCACTGCCGTCTCCCAGATCCTGCCTCCAAGACAAAGACAAACCTGGGCTTATGCTTCACCCTTATGTCCCCACACCAGGTCCCCGGGGACCATCAGCTCACACTTCCTCCAGATGTGCATACCACTGTGTAATGTGTATCCCCTTCCCATCTTCAGACCCAGATTCATTCCCTCAGTTCTGCCCCCTTCCTGCCCCAATGCCACTGGATCTCGCTGGACTCACCCATGAACTTGGCATGCTATCCGAGAGAGCTTGTATTTCAGCCAGAACCAGGTCAACCCAGTCCATTGATGGATCCCAGAGCCCAGAAAGCCCGGATCGAGATTGTGACGTCCTCCCTGCAGCCTCTGATCTTGGCGTCATAAATCACCACCCACATCCCCATGGGAACCTCAGATAATGGTCACCCCTGTCCTCTCTGCCCTGCACCTGCTGTGTCCTCAGAAGACACAACACTCCTCTCTCCCCTCCACCTTCCACGCGGGAATGATCTGCAGGACGAGACAGGCTCCCGCCCCCGGGCTGCCCTGTTCGGTGTGAGGAGGCGGTGGGGTCCCGGGGACTCGCACTCACCTCAGCCCAGCGACTTAGCGCGGACGCCGCCATCGCACTCAGTGGAGGAAGCAGGGCGGGAGCGGCGGAAGAAGGGGCCGCCGCGGGAAGGGCGGTCCCTGTCCCGGCCATGGAGAGGGTCACGCGCGTTACCACGTCCATCTTCACACCCGCGCGTGTGCTGTGTGCACCACAACTCTCCCGGCTTTTCCCTCGGGGCATCTCCACTAGAAACTAGCGATCTGGAATCTCCGATAAAGTAGTGGCGGTAACCTGAGTCCAGACAAAATGCCTCCCTTGCGGACACCGGAAGTCCCGCCTCTAGTACTTCGCCGGAAGCGCATTTTCTGACCCTTCATTGGTTGCCGCGTGGTATTTCAGATTTCGCTTTTGCATAATGTAGTCCAGGGTTTACCCACCTCACCACCAGGGGAAAAAAACCGAGATTGGCCTCTGGAGAGGCTTCCCATCCTAATGAAAGAGTCATCTTGAAAATGGCTAAAGGAAGTTATCTTTTCCTGGTGAAGGGACTTGAGTACGTGCAAATGAAAACACATGATCCCTGAACCCAATACAGCGACTCATAATAAAGAGGTATGAATGCATTAGAGTCTAGAACATTTTATCCCAAAATGACCTACTTAAACCATCATATATGAATGGGAAAAATATAACATAGGAATGTAGGACAGACTTTTGAAATAAAAAAGAAGATGCATAATATAAACTTTATTTTTTTGATAGATGGGGAGAGATACAGACACCATGAGAGAGACACATCCTTTGGCTGTCCCCTGCACGCCCCCTATTGGGGATTGAGCCCACAATCTGGGGATGTGCCCTGACCAGGAATGGAACTCCAGGATCTGTTGATCCATGGGAGGACTCTCAATCCACTTAGAAACATCTGCCAGGGCATAATATAAACTTTAAATGGAACTCTATTGTTTCGTTTTAATTTGAACATCAACTAAGATAAATAAATTTTTAAAAAGTGGAAAAATTGTCTTTTGTTATCGGTGGTTTTCTTCATGAGAAAATGCTATTGTAATTCTCATAGTGAAAAAAAATTTGTCCTTTATAGACATATCTAACATGCCAGGTGTGATGATGTTTTAGACATTTCAATGTGATGAGATTATGAACATATTTATAAACAATATTTAGAGTAAGTGAAGTCTATATTCATAATGAAAGTTGAGCCATGTATAACTCAGAAACTTAAAAAAAATCACACAAAATATAAAAAGTAGTTATGGGTATGCATCTGTGCAATAAATATTAAAATCAATAATAATTCTTGCTGGCTGGCGTGTTTCAGTGTTTGAGCATCAACCTATGAACCAGGTCAGAGTTCGATTCTGGTCATGTTACATGCCCGGGTTGTGGGCTAGATACCCAGTGTGGAGTGTGCAGGAGGCAGCTGATCAATGATTCTGTCTCATCATTGATGTTTCTATGTCTCTCCCTCTCCCTTTCTCTCTGAAGTCGATGAAAATATATTAAGAAAACAAAACAAAAAAACCCTAAATAATCTAACAGAAGAGTTTAAAATCTTTTTTAAACTTGCCATAAATTATAGAAGTCAGTTCTAAATAAAAATAATCTCCAGCATCCTGAAACTGAAACAATGGTCAGAGTCTGACACTCCTGGTGAACGGCTGGCATGGGAACACTGGACAGCACTTTCTTGTCCATGAAACATCTTCCCAATATGCTCAAATCCCCTTGCTCCTCTCCTTTATGTTATTTATTTATTTATAAATAAACATATATATTTTAATTGATTTGAGAGAGTAAGGGAGAGATAGAAACATCAATGATGAGAGAATCACAGATCTTCCACCTCCTGCACACTCCCCACTTGGGATCAAGCCCATAACCAGGGCATGTGCCCCCGACTGGAATCGAACCCGGAACCCTTCTATCCACAGGCTAACACTCTACCTGCTAAGCCAAACCAGTCAGGGCTCCCCTCCTTTAAATGTGTGCTCTTAAAATCCTCAGGAGCCACATGCTTTGTCATTCCTGAGTGCTGCTCAATTTATACAGGGTGGAAAAAGTAGGTTTACAGTTGTGAGTATGCAAAACACAGTTTATTATTGTATGATTATTTATTCTTGTAATATTGTATTAGAACTGTAAACCTACATTTGCCCACCTCTGTGTTTTCACATCACCTGTCACCTAAGAATTTACTATAACATAGAATATTTTCTCTTGAGTGACTGGCTACCCTTTTAATAAAGCCTTTGATGAAGCCTGGTAGGGAACCTATTCCTTTATTCACTGCTGTGTAACACAGCCTCTGAAGCAGTGACATTATTAATAAAAAGACTGTTGAGCCCTAGCCGGTTTGGCTCAGTGGATAGAGAGTCAGCACAGATTCGATTCCGGTCAAGGGCACATGCCTGGGTTGCGGACTCCATCCCCAATGTGGGGTGTGCAGGAGGCAGCTGATCAATGATTCTCTCTCATCGTTGATGTTTCTATCTCTCTCTCTTACTCTCTCAAATCAATAAAAATATATTTTAAAAAAACCTGTTGAAACAATGAAACTTGCTGCTATGGCTATTTTTCCACAATTCTAAATTGTTCTGCTCACACCTTACTCTATCTTTCTCACCTCACCAGTATTTCCCCAAGTTGGCATGAATTGAAAAACACACACACACACACTTTGCTGTAAGAAGAATTTGAGTGTAGCCAAGTTTTCACAAGAGCCAAAGCTTAGGTTAATTTTCTCCTCTCTTAACAATCAGGCCCTTGCCGGTTTGGCTCAGTGGATAGAGTGTCAGCCTGTGGACTGAAGGGTCCCAGGTTCAATTCCAGTCAATGGCACATACCTGGGTTACAGGCTCCTCCCCGCCCCAGGCCATGGTCAAGGCGTGTGGAGGAGGCAACTAATCAATGTTTTTCTCTCACATTGACATTTCTCTCTCTCTCTTAAAATCAATAAAAACACATTTTTAAAAAATGCCTATTTTAAAAAATATATTTTATTGATTTTTTACAGAGAGAAAGGGAGAGGGTCAGAAACATCGATGAGAGAGAAACATCAATTTAGCTGCCTCCTGCACACTCCCTACTAGGGATGTGCCTGCAACCAAGGTATATATGCCCTTGACCGGAATTGAACCTGGGACCCTTCAGTCCGCAGGCCTACGCTCTATCCACTGAGCCAAACCAGCTAGGGCGAAAATTCCTATTTTTTTAACAAGGGTTTTTTTTCCTCTCACCCTGTCCAGTGTGGCTCAGATTTTAGAGCACTGGCCCACCCACTGAAGGGTCTTGTGTTTGAATCTGGTCAAGTGCACATACCTGAATTGCAGGTTCAATTCCTGTCCTGGTTCGGGAAATGCAGGAGGCAACCAATTGCTGTGTCTCTCTCACAAGGATGTTTTCCTCTCTCCCTTCCCCTCCCTTCCCCTCTAAAAATCAATGGAAAAAATATTCTCGGGTGAGGATTAACAACAAAAAAAGGTGTGTTTTTCTCTCCCTCTCTCTCCCTTCCTCTCTACAACTGAATAAAAAATACATATATTTTTTTAAATATTTCATTTTATAAACCACTTGATGCTACTTATAAACTTGATGAAACACATCTAAATGTGCTGTCTTTATAAAATTAATATATTGCTTAATTTTCTAAAAATGTGTTTTTATTGAGCTTTAGATTGAGCAGGAGAGGGCTAGAGATAGAAACATCGATGATTGATCAGCTGCCTCCTGTACTATCCCTACTGTGGTATCAGCCCAAAATGTGGGCATGTGCCCTGACTGGGATTTGAACCAGTGACCTCTTGGTTCATGGGTTGACACTCAACAACTGTACCACACCAGCCAGGCTCAGTTTCATTTTCAAGTACTTCAAATATTCTGAAATAACACGAAGTATGAAGTAAAGAAATTCCAAAGTTAATTACAGCATGAAATAAGCATAGACCACTCCTGTGTTGTATACATTAAAATGTAATCCATGATGAGAGAAACTGCCAATTTAAAACTTACAAAATCAGCCCTGACCGGTTTGGCTCAGTGGATAGAGCGTCAGCCTGTGGACTCAAGGGTCCCAGGTTCGATTCCAGTCAAGGGCATGTACCTGGGTTGTGGGCACATCCCCAGTAGGGAGTGTGCAGGAGGCAGCTGATCAATGTTTCTCTCTCATCGATGTTTCTAACTCTCTATCCCTCTCCCTTCCTCTCTGTAAAAAATTAATAAAATATATTTTTAAAAAAACCAACTTACAAAATCATTGGCAAAGCAACTAGAAATATGGCTGAAGGTATCCTGTCTCCAATTGTTTGTGAGGTATATTAACTGTTTAGACTTGTGACAATGCTTTTTCATTCAAGGCTTCTTTCCTTGATTAAGTTACCTGAAGTTTTGCTAAAGACCACCGAATTGAATGTGTTTGTCAGTTATTTCTGTATGGATTTCCTGGCAAATGACAAGGCAACATGAATTACTGCAAACCATGCTATATTCACTGCCCAAGCAGTGACTAGCTGTAGGGTCAACTGATTTCTAATAATGTCTTATTTTCCTGCCCTGACCGGTTTGGCTCAGTGGATAGAGCGTCGGCCTGCGGACTGGGGGGTCCCAGGTTTGATTCCGGTCGAGGGCATGTGTCTTGGTTGCGGGCACATCCCAGTGGGGGGTGTGCAGGAGGCAGCTGATTGATGTTTCTAACTCTCTATCCTTTTCCCTTCCTCTCTGTGAAAAATCAATAAAATATATTTTTTAAAAAAATGTCTTACAAAAAAAAAATGTCTTACTTTCCAGAAGACATTTTCCCACAATTAAAAATATTCACTCATGCCCTAACCGGTTTGGCTCAGTGGATAGAGCATCAGCCTGCGGACTCAAGGGTCCCAGGTTCGATTCTGGTCAAGGGCATGTACCTTGGTTGCAGGCACATCCCCAGTAGGGAGTGTGCAGGAGGCAGTTGATCGATGTTTCTCTCTCATCTATGTTTCTAACTCTATCCTTTTCCCTTCCTCTTTGTAAAAAATCAATAAAA